CAAGGGTTGCCATACATCCAAGCGCCCTGTCTAGGTAATTGGACGCATGGTGGCACCATTGGTAGAAGAGGGTCAGGAGGAAAAGATGGTTTTGAAGGGTCTGAACTGGGTGTAATGAGTTTCCTGTTCTCATTTTAGCCTCAGAACTATGGCCAAGCTCCATGGGAGGCTACCAAGGAACTGAGCAAAAAATGTGGTTTCAGGTGACTGAAAGTAGAATGAAATTTTAAGGGTCTACCTGAAAATAAGGGGTTATTTATTTTAAGATCGACGAGAAAGACCCAGACAGCCCCTCATCGCAACCTTAACTTGGGCTCTCAAAGTTTCTAGGTCTCTTAATTCTTGCTGGCAGTGACCAGCAAGGTGAGATGTGGGAATAATATTCTACGCTCAGATGTTAGGTTGTAGCTAGAAAACAAAACAAAACAACCTGAGGTGTTTTGTTTGTTTGTTTTGTTTCAGTTCAGGGTCTAGGTGTTACAGGGAGCCGAGATCAAGGGCCTGGGGTACTTGTAGCATTTCTCCCCAGGGTGAGAAGGACACGTGAAGAAGAAGACTAAGCACAGGGTAGGGGGTAGTGCCAGAGATGCGATCTGCCGGCTCCCCAGTGTTACTCGGCATGGGCCCCCTGGACGGTAGTGCCTCCCAGACCGGCAAACAGGCTGCACTCCACACTTTACAGATGCAAGACAGACTCCAGGAACTCAAAACCAGATTTTTGTGGTCACACAGGTAGAACCCAGGACCCAGGACTCTGTCCCATGCCTCAGCTGTTGCCTCAGCTGCTGCCTGGCCTCCTGGGGCTTCTCCTGCAGGCCCACACTGCCATTTGCATTGCAAACCATGAACACAGTCTATGGGCAAATCTCTGGGGTCCAGGCCCTGTCTGAGTGGTGGAGGCTGGAGGGGGGAAGAGGAAGTGGTGATCAGTTCCAGGCTGCCCCTGGGCCAGCACCCACCCCTGTCCCAGAAGCCCCTGGATGTGGTACGGTGGGGGGCTGTGCACATATCCACAAGGCACAGAGAAATCAACCTTGGACGGCTAATCGCCTATCCAAACATTGTTGGTAATCTGCATCCCTAAAATAAACCCTTAAAAGATGGAAAGATGTTAGTAATTTCTGGCCATATGTGCCTCCTCCTTCCTTACTCTCTCCACCTCAAAAAAGAAACTGAGCCAAATGGCAAGAAATAAAGAGCCTAATGCATAACACATTTCCATCATTTGATTTCCCCTCTCCCTTTGCTGTCCCCCCACCTATGTAAACTAAATTCCTTTACACGGTCATGGCAAAGGAACATTAATTTTTGATTTGAGTTGTGATTAAAAGCAACACAATCAAAAGAGTGAAATAGTTTCCACCGAAGCAATATCATTTTAAACCCAGTCATGGTGTAGTATGAAAGAGTGTGGTCTTTGGGGTTAAGTGTGGGTTTTAATTCTGATTTTATCTCTTACATACTGTGGCTTCGGGTTGTCATTACTTAACCTGAGTCCTTCTCCTTGATTGTAACAAATAATAACGGTGCCTTCTTAACGTGATTGCCGTGAGCATTAAATCTGGAGCCTTGCACAGAGCCACCTATCCTGTGCTCATCTGTAGAGTCCGGCCCTTGAAAACCGATGGCTTACTCTGCAAAAAAGAGGGTGCCCTCTATGGGGTGTCTGGGTGGCGCAGTTGGTTAAGCATCCAACTCCTGGTTTCGGCTCTGCTCCCTATCTCAGGATCCTGAGATCGAGCCCCATGCTGGGCTCGTGCTCAGTGTAGAATCTGCTTAGGACTCTCGCTCCCTCTGCCTCCCACCCCCCATACTCTCTCTCTTTCTCTCAAATTAATAAATAAATATTAAAAATAAAAGAGGGTGCCCACATTGTCAACTGGGGCATGCACTCATTTCAGCTGATGATGTAATTGATTGCTTCTATAGCAACGTGGGGTTCCCAGTCTTAGACTTTGGGAAGTAGCTTGAGATTCACCTAACGCTGTGGGGTCACTTTATTTAGAGGATCTTGTGAAAGGAGTAGAATTGTTCTTAACTGCTTACCTTCCTGTAGCACTCCTCCCTGCCTTTCTCTGGTATGCGGTTTCTCCCAGTCCTGCGTTCTCTGTTTTGCAGAGGGGAGGCAAGAGAGGGAGACTTGACTTTGCCTAGGCCTGGGCAGTGAGTCTCCTCATGCTGGTCCCATATTCAACACCAACAAGACCTTTTCTCATTCAGTGAGCCACAGACCAGAGCAGTTGAAGTCTTTCCCCAAGTGAACCACCAGGCTCAACGTTTGCAAGCCCAGAAGGGAAGCTAAACCAGGTGTCGGCTTGTGGGGTCACGTCTGGGGTGAAGTCCTGGACGGGTGGCTTCTGTTGCTTTTTGTTTGCCACACTCCTGCCTGCTGTCCCCACCACTCTCTGTCCAGAGCGGGGGTGAGAATCAAGCATAATCAGAAGTACGGGGTAGTGGCTGGTTTGGGTGGGGGAAGAGCTTAGAATAAAGAACTCTCTGGGGGGCTGTGCTCAACTCACTCCCATGTGTGCTGGGAAGCCTGGACCAGCCTCAAAGGTCAAGGTTAATCCTCCTCGAGAGCATTCTGCTGCTTCGTGCCCAGTTCCTGAACTTTCTGCTGCCCTTGGGAGGGAGGCATTTCTTAAGGGATCCCAGGCCTAGGGTATTATATGAGATTAAGTAGACTGCAGAATCTGGAACTCTTTTTGTAAGAAAAAGAAAGCAGTGGGAGCATTTAATTTACTGACTTTGACACATTCATTAAAGGTTTGTTCCCAGGATGTTCCCCTCCTTCCTATCCTCGGGTTAGCCAAGGGTGTGTTTTCTCATCAACTAAATACTAAATAATAAAGCTTTGCAAATACAGTTTTTCCTTTGCCAGAGCAGCCTCTTTCAAGCAGGAGAATCTCTTCTACCGTTTCGTAAATGAAGCCCTTTTGAAATGTGGGTGAAACCAGAAAGTGAGTCTGAGCTCCTCCCCCTTACTTGCTTGGTTCTCATAGCCAGTCTTCTAACTGTGAGGTTCATTATAAAAAATTTTGCAGCCGTAGAGTCATCATGGTCTGCACAATGATTCAAAGTGCACATTTAAGACATGGGTTTAGGCTGAGGATTAGTGACTTTGGCCAAGTAAACTTAATCCCCCCCATGCCAACGCTTTTCTCATCTATTAAATGGGAAAAATAATTATACCTTCCTCATGGAGTTGTTAGGTTTAATTGGGGAAATTCGTGGAAAATACTTAGCACATTTCCGGGCATGCCATATGCTCTCCTAATTGTTAGCTAGTGCTATTCTGTTCAGATTCAAGCCTTTCCTCGTGGAGTATGGGTGGGAAGTTTGAGTTATTAAAAAAGAGGCTTGCTAATTTTGAATTTACAAGAATTCAGAGGATGCACAAATTCTCTGGTAACTAGCATCTGGAGAATGGTTTTCCTCTCCTTTGGAACTATCTGGCCTGGCCAGCTTGAGAGGGGACTTGATTTTCATAGCCATGCTGAATTGTTAGTGCATATACATCTTCTGGAATGCCTCCACGCAAATTCAATTATCTTCACCGACAGGCCTTGTATTGTAGCCATCACTATATTTCCTGTCTATACATTCACATTAAAATAATGTTAACCCACAGTCTGTAGAGCAAAGGAAAAGGGAAGGCCAGCTTGGTGGACAGGCCCTTCCTCTCCCTGCAGAGAGCTGAGCCCATGTCCTGCGTCAGACTCTGGGAAGTCCTTGGTTGGATTTCTCTGTCAACACTTCACCAGGAATTGCTTGAATCTGTCAAAAGCTCAAAGCAGAGTTTGATTCTGTGTGGGTCTACCCAGTGGAAAGAACATTTGTGGCACCTGTTAGTGGTGACTTTGTGGTTGATGGAACATTAGTGATACCTGCTGTCAGTGATACCCTAGAGACGCCATGGTGGGGACTGGAATTTCTCCAGAGCAGAAGTTGGACACTGATTTTTTTTTTTTTTTTTGACAGAGAGAGAGAGAACACAAGTAGGCAGAGAAGCAGGTGCCCCTTGGACACTGATTCTTGATGCACTCAAGCATAACTGTTTGATAGACTGTTTAAATCTCCCACGGGGCACTTGGGTGGCTCAGTGGGTTAAGCCTCTGCCTTCAGCTTGGGTCATGATCCCAGGGTCCTGGGATTGAGCCCCACATCGGGCTCTCTGCTCAGCAGGTAGCCTGCTTCTTCCTTTTTCTCTGCCTGCCTCTCTGCCTACTTGTGATCTCTGCCAAATAAAATATTAAAAATAAAATAAAATAAATCTCCCCATCGCTGCATGTGTACACGTAGATTTTGTCGGTCTGGTTTACAGCACCCAACTTTCAAGGAATTTTAGGTCCTTTGGATGTTAGAAATCTAAACCAATGGCTTTCTCTTTAAAAACAAAACAAAACAAAACAAAAAAGCTCAGGGTGACTTTTTCTTGGAATCCTGAGGTCCACAGCCTTAGAGTTATGGATTATATTCAAGTGTATGAGCCTCTTCTTCTCTGAAAGCATTGTATGATATTTTGCGTCACTGAATTAAAAAAAATATATGATTTGGTACATTTTTTAAAAAAGATTTTATTTATTTATTTGAGAGAGAGAGAGAGAGAGAACAGGGAGAATCCCGATGTGGGGCTTGATCCCGGGACCCTGAGATGGTGACCTGGGCGGAAGGCAGATGCTTAACGGACTGAGTTACCCAGGTGGCCCTATGATTTGGTTCTGAAAATGTGTTCCGGAATGTCACGGAGTCCCAGGGCAACTCCCGAGTTACCATTAGACACCACGGAACTAGGGGGCAGAATCAGAGCACAGAGATGAACTGAGACCTTGGTGTTCATCTGTAAAACTGCCTCTTTCTTTGACTTGCCAGTTGCCTTTCATTTTGGCCTCCTCTTGTGTCCAAAGTTTGGGTCATTGTTTTAGATGGAAAGCTGTGTTCTAAAATCCTTTTTCTCCCTCCTTCTCTCCTCTTCCCCTCTTTGCCTACGCCACCTCTAGCCCTGAGAATGAAAATTAAAGAAGTGAAAAAAGAGAATGGTGACAAAAAGATTGTCCCCAAGAAGAAGAAGCCCCTCAAGTTGGGACCCATCAAGAAGAAGGAACTGAAGAAGCTGGTCCTGTACCTGAAGAACGGGGCCGACTGCCCGTGCCACCAGCTGGACAACCTCAGCCACCATTTCCTCATCATGGGCAGGAAAGTGAGGAGCCAGTACTTGCTGACGGCCATCCACAAGTGGGACAAGAAAAATAAGGAATTCAAAAACTTCATGAAGAAAATGAAAAACCACGAATGTCCCACTTTTCAGTCGGTCTTTAAGTGATTCTCCCTGGGTGGGTTGGGGAGGGAGCCGTGGGTTGGGGGGAGGGGTGGGGCCGAGCAGACAGCCCTGGAAGCCAGAGGTTCACGCTCAGTGCTCCTTCGGTTGGTAGAGGACATTGTAGTCCAGTCAGCTGTGCTCCGGCAGCATCCCTATGCCTCCCCTTCCATAGCCATGCTCCAGACCCAGTACAGCCAGTATTTAAAACCGCATGCAGGTAAGGAAAATCATTTAGGTTAGGAAGTCTTTTAGGATCTACAGCAAGGAACGGCACATCACTGAGTAAAAGCAGGTGCAAACCATTTCAACCTGAGACGGCCACTAAAAAAGAAAATTCTGCTGGTAAACAAACAAAAAACAAAAAGAAAAACGAGATTGGGCAAAAAGTGAGAGGCAGCAGCAAAAACTCAGCTCTGCAACTTTCTTTGGTTCCAAGTTGCTTATGGATCTCGCAGCTGATCTAGGCCTTTGGAACTAGAACATTCCGACTATTGGTCAGATGTGTTGCTTTCAGTTCCAGAGTAACTTCTTTTTCTGTCTGCCTTTGAGAGAAACACACAGCCACACCCACAACTGGAGATCGATTCCGGAAAGTCAGCGCAGGGGCAGAAAGCACAAGGACAGTACGTAATAGTGAAAACCCAGGGAGGTCACGGCTGCTCCCCCTTTCCATGTGATTGTCTTTTGAAACGAATCCGCTAGTCTCTGATGGCATGTACGTGGCGGTTAGCATTGGCCCCCGTGTGTGACCTGACCTCTGCACGTGTGGAGGGCCGCACGTGCCTGCCTTTGTGTGGGGAGAAGGAAACACCGTGGGGGACCAAACCCGCGGCATGAGAGAGATGATGATTTTCAGACAGAGAAGGCAATGGTTAGTGGTTTTCAAAAAACATAAAAAAACAAAGAAAAAAACATTAGGAACAGCCCCACAAATTGCCAGTCAGTGTGAACTGTAACCAGGTGAAGAGCTGCGTGTTCTCATGTCATCTCTCTGCTCATTTCACTTTTTTGGGGGGGCAGCAACAACAACAAAAACCCTATTTACTTTTCAGCATTTAAAAAAGAAAAAGTCTACATTGACATTTGAAAGGGGTACTGGGCTGAGGGTCTTTTGGTGCATTTGAGGATCCTTTCCAGAAGGACAGCTCTCTCACTGGGCATTTGGGGTGGGGGATGGATTTGCCTGATAGTGGAACCATGTGGCCCTCTTTTCTGAGGCGTTCTGGATTGCCCCGGCCCCAACCCAGAGCCAGTCAAAACACACAGTGCTTCCTGTGCTTTCCTTTTGGGCGACCAAGTGGATTCCTTCCAACCTGATTGCCTGTAGATCAAAGAAATTCAGTACAACACACCTGCCTGTCCTCTGTACTTAAAAACAAACAAACATATTTTTTAAAATTTCTGCAGAGGGAGAGTTAAACCCAAAGTGTCCCCATCCAAGGAGAGAGTTTCAAAGGCAACACATCTCTGCAGGTTTTCCTGAGTGCCCTAAGATACTTCTTAAAACCCTTGCGTTTCATAGGCGATGTATAGAAACTCATTCACATAAGCAGCTTTACTCCTCTTGTTTGGTGACTAAGAAATCATTCTAAGCAATTAATGTTCACTTGCCCCTCGAGCCCGATTCCTCATTCTCTGTAACACCCAAAGGTGGTGAGTTAGTAGTTGTCCCTCTGGGCCAGTGTTTATACCCAATTTGGAAGCTGCAGTGATGCTGGAAAGTGACATCCATGAGGCTCCTGGACTGACACAGAAACAGTGGAAGATTCTGTTAACTTCTGAAAACTCCAGTCTGCAAATCAGCATGCCACCTTCGTTACCTACCAGAGGGTTATCCTGATATAATTAACCTCTCACAAATAGTGATCCTATTATTTTAACACTTTGTTGTTATTGTTGTTGTTGTTGTTGTTGTTTTGGTTTTCTCTGACCTTTAATCATAAAGTGTTGGGGATCTTAAATGATTTGTCTGAAATTTTGGATGATTTAAAAAAAAATGTGTATATATGTATTAGTTAATTAGAAATATTCTACTTTCCTATTAACTGAAATTCTGAACGATTTCATGAATGCATGGATCTGGGCCTTCATTTAGGTTGCTTGGGTTGATGAACTCAAGAGTTCAGTGCTCATATGTATCTGCTCATTTTGACAGAGAGCATGTATGCAACAGGCCTCTGTCCAAAGCAGGGCTGTAGGAAGGGGTTTCCGCAGAAAGACTGAGGAAAAATGGGCAGCCGTGCTGCACAGCTCTCTGAGTGGGAATTCTCAGGTAGGAAGTGACGTTTGCAGCCCAAGTTCACAGTGGACTGGCACTGTGAATTGCAGCTCTTGGTTTTACCCCCACCAGACAGTCCCAGGGCTTGTGAGTTTCAGTGCGGATATGAGAGGCACGTGATCCCTCTAACACATCAGCAGTTTGAGGGCACAAAGGGAGGCTCTGCGACCAAAGCTGCATTTTTATCACAACCTTTGTTTTTCTCAACCAAGGGTATGACAAAACCAATGTGTAGACCATTGGCTTGGTCATCGGTTTCCAAAAGAGGAGGTCGGTATGTGATCTGGTAATTGTTGCAAGTTCAAAGGTCATATGTGTAAAGGTTAAAAATCATTCCGGGTAAAATCCTGTGAAGTCATTGGCAGCATTCAGCTCACTCTTTGAAGATTGCTGATTCTTTGATGAGACGAGAATCCCAAGAACACTTCACTTTTAGACGATCCTGTGTAATCCTTGGCTCTTGCTGCAACGGGGCCCCTGAAGGCAGAATCCTGGGTCAGAGCTCGAGTTTTCATTTGGATCTGTAAATTACAGACATCTCAGAGCCCAAAGCTAGAATGTGTGTTTCTCATCAGCCTCCCAAGTAACTAGTTGCTCTGTTGGAACTCCGCAGATGTGGGCTCGGGTCATCTGTTCCTGAAGCACACCTTGGGTGACCCCCAGGGACTAGCCATTCTGATCTGTCACCAGCAGATACATAGGGCGTGGGTGAAATTCCTGTTTCCTCTAGTCCCCTCCCGTAGCACTCCTCTTTTAGAGTCTAAATCTTTTACAAAAGCTTTGAATACTGTGAAAATGTTTTACATTCCATTTCATTTGTGTTGTTGTTTTAACTGCATTTTACCAGATGTTTTGATGTTATCACTTATGTTAATAGTAATTCCCGTATGTGTTCATTTTACTTTCATGCTTTTCCTGCCATGTATCAATATTCACTTGACTAAAATCACTCAATTAATCAATGATAATGTGAGTTGTGTCTTCCCCCTCACCCCTCAACGATAGACCACTCCCCCTCCACATCCCCTGCTTGAGTTTCTTCAGTGAGGTTTTCTGGTCTTAGTTTTACCGCTTTGCAGTGATAACTGGGTATGGGTGGGCTGGAGGAGCACCTGGGAGGCATTGCTCCCCTCATCTCCAACCCACGTTGACCATCTGCTCCCATGGATAACTTCCAGAAGCGTTTCTCCCGGCTGTGTGTGTTTCAGACCAGAAAGGTTACAGACTTGTTCTACAAAGAATGTATTTTTCAACCCTGCCTTTTCCGTGTTTTGGGTTTCAGATGCTTTCTCCTCTTTAGCCAATTCTGTGTTAATTTGAAAAAACTCTGGGACCTGGAGTCTTAGACCTGTATGAGATCTTAGAGGAGACCATGTCCAGCTGTTTCATTTATAGATGGAGAAGATGAGATGGGGGATGGCTGGGGTTTCACAGGGAGCTTGGGGTTCCCAGGTCAATGATGTCGCTGGAACAGGAACCCAGAGCTCCTAGGGGCTAGATGTGTGGGAGCAACATCTGAGCGACTACAGATCTTCTCTTTGGACCCCATGGGAGGAACTTGCTGAGCCCAAGTCATTTCATATTAGGTGATACACCTCTTGCCCAAGGAGATCCTCAATGTGACTTTTAATTCTGTAAACACTTCCAGTGACAACTTCATTTGATGTCATTTTCTGATTAACAAGGCACCTCCAAACCTAAGACAATTGGCAGTTATCCCCAGAAGTGAGTAAATACTCCCAGGTCACCAAAAACCCCACAGAAGCACGGAGATACCATTACTCAGGCGTGGTGTGAGGACTTGGGAAAATTCCACTAAAGCTGTGCCCTAGTATCTAGATTTTCCCATGCTAATGCACGTGACTGGTGAACTAGTGATATGCTAGCCAATCAAGGCAAATATCGACATTATTTTCCTTTTTATTCCCCCATGGTTAATGAAAAGAAAACTATCTTTTAGGTTGGATGTGGATGTCTTTGTCATTCCACTGAAGCCCTATCACAGCGATCCATAATTTCCCATTGCTGTTTTGAACATTTTTTTTTAACAAATCAGCAAAAAGATAATGAAGTATGTACAAAGGCATCTTGGCTTCTGCTGCTGGAGTCATCCTGGAGTTTGGGGTCCCCAGGGGTTACGACTGCTTGTGCCTTGTGCCTTAGAGACTCTGGTAGCACCGGGATCAGCAGCCTGGCCCTCAAGTTTTATAGCTTCCACACTTCTTCAGGGAATTATACAGGTGCTCTCCAACTCGGGGGCAGAAAGAGATGAAGTGTCACAACGTTATCCATGTTAGGTGGGTCTTCTTCTTTTTTTTTTTTTTAAGATTTTATTTGACAGATATCACAAGTAGGCAGAGAGGCAGACAGAGAGAGAGGGGGAAGCAGGCTCCCCACCGAGCAGAGAGCAGGTGGGTCTTACTTCTAAGGCCATCTCCCCATACTGGGTCCAGAAGTGTCAGCAATTCCATTTTGCTCCCGAGGACGAGAAATTTGTACCCTTCACCCAGTAGTAATCAAAGGAAAAGGAATCACTCTTAAATTTTATCATGGATTCCCAGAACTATTTAAGAAATGCGAGGCTGGGTTCATTTCCCCAGGAATCCAGCCCATTCCAAACCCCAGATATCTATCCAGGCCTTTCAGAGAGAAAAGAATCAGAAGTTTCCAACATCTTTGGATGTGTAAGGGAAAGTTAAGGTAACACACTTTCAGTGACAGATAAACCTCAAAATTTCATTGAAAAAAAATTTTTTTTTTTTTTAAGCATAGATCATCAAGGGAGAGCCTGCTAACAAGCAGTTCCTGACTTCCACACCTGTAAACTCAGATTCAAAGGGTTTGCCATGGGGCCCTAGGATTTGAACTTTGAACTAGTGCTCTAGGTTTCTCAGATGCCAACAGTCTGTTGGATCTTACTTTGCAAAACATTTTTGTAGGACATAAGTGACCTAGGAATAACAGGCAGGGTATTATTTTTGTATCCCCCTTATCCCTACCCACAAACTTCACATTGTTGCCCCCCTTTCTAAAGTTCTCAGTTATTCTTACTAGGTATGAATTAATACAAGTGGTTGTGCAGAGATGCAAGGGCAGGAATGAGCCCTCTCCCTTAGCTAGGGACAGCTGGCTTCCCAAGTAGTTCTCAGACCTTGATATGCCCACCAGCCAGCGGAGACTGAAAATGCAGATTCCGATGGGGAAAGGGGGGTGACGGCAGAGTCCTGAGCGCTTCTGATGGGCTCCTGGTTGTGTGGAGAGGCCCACTACTGATCTGCTGAGCGCACTTTGAGGATGAGACTGGAAGGGGCAAGTGAGAAGGGCTGTGGGGTTCAACAGTATCTTTGCTCCCTGCTCTCATAATGCCATGTCTGGGATCCCTGTGTGGAGCTCATCTCCTCAGGACTCAGTATTAACTTTGGCTGGAGAAGAAAATGTGTGTGTGTATGTGTGTGAGTGTGTGTGTGTGTGTGCGTGCACGGGTTGGAAAGAAAATCATATTGTGGGAGAGCCCCAGTTAGAAACTCAAAGCTGGGGGCCAACCCTCTCAACCCTCTACTCATTCAATTTCACTTTTGTCCCGGGCCTTGATGGTTGGTTCTTCTTCTGCAGAATCCTCT